ACGGTAAGAGTGTCTTGCTACTCTTATATCAAAACACAGGTTTTTAAGTGCATATTTTGATATTACAATCTTTTAAATATATTCACTTTAAACCACAAATAGATTAAGTGCGATTCCCCAATTTTATAATTACGTTACTATCATTCTTTATTTTTGTTGTCAAAACATGTTAAATTGAAATAAATAAATTCAATAAATCTGAAAGATTTTCAATATTGGCTTTCTACTGTACAAATTTGTACACTATAAATTGTTAGTTTTAATCCTTAATTTTTTCTTCTTATTGTCAATTTTATTTAATATTTTTCTATGATTTTTTTTTTTAAATACTTCACACTTCTAAATGGGCTGGTCATTTCTTTTTTCATAAATGTTACCATTTGAATTCATCATTTAAAAAGAAACATTTATCAGGTTTTTTTTTTTTAATGAAAAAGGTAAATAATTCCATTGAAAGAAGGCCAAAGCAAGGGTATAGTGGCACATCACATTTTACTGTCTCTGAATCCCACTTAGCCTCACACAAGGCTGTTATTACAAATTCTCAAATAAAATAGATTAATGACTTCAGTTAGTTCTATAATCGCCAAGTTACTTTTAAGTACTGAAAAAAAAAAAAAAAAAACCTAAAAACTAAAGAGAAGTAATCTAATCAAAAGGGTCTCTTTCCTAATTAACCACCAAAACCCCTTATCCAAAGTATTCAAATTTAAAAACTCTTTAATTATGAAAATTTTGACCAAATCTTGCACAAGTTTGTCAATTCCTTGATTTCCTCCGATATATACTGGTACGAGTTTGTAGGGATAACAACTTGAAAATCACTCTAACACCACTGTTACGCCTCCTCTACAAGCACCATCATACCTAAACAAACCCATAGTCGGCATCTTCCAACTATTGCCACCATTAAGCGTTTAAACGCATTAGAACGCCAACGTGAGTGGTACTCTAAATTCACCATCATCAACAAAACCACCCCAGCCTGTGTTTCTACCAGAAGCAGGGCTGCATCCTCCTCTACCAACAAGGATAGCCTATTTTCCTATGTATCAACTAGTTCATCTATACCTTCAACAAGGCTCAACACCTTCTTCCACCAACCTACAGCACGAACCACCAAGAAGAGCAGCCTCCAAGACCACCATTGAAGGTGTAATACCCCAAAATTTTGTGTTATTTTAGCATTTAAGTAAGGGTTTTTGTGTGAGAAAATATTGTTTTGGGCTTAATAGCCAACATTTTGAAAGTTGAGGGACTTAAAGAGGGAAAGAATTTGGATAAGGATGGCTCCTTTTCTTTTTCCCTTTTTTTCCTTCTTTCTTTCTTCTCCAGCCCGCATGTTCTGCTCTTCCCGACCCCCCTGCACCCGAGAGGGAAAAAAAAAAGAAGGAACCAAGCAAGCTGCCGGCCCCAGCCTTGAGGAAACCGGTGAGAAAGCTTGGATTTCTCCTTCCTTTCTTGTTCTAGAACCCAGAAATCCTTCCCCCCTGTAGGAAGCTTCCGGATCTGCCTTGCTCTGCTCCTCACCGCCGGCTGCTCCTGCTTTGTGGGGGCGAATTTCTCTGATTTTGGGTAAGAAATAGCCATGAATCTCCCTTCTCTAGCTTTGAATTGCCTTGGGTTTACCTTAATTTCCTCTTGGTTCTCCAATTTTTGGGTAGATTGCGTGATTCTTCCCTGCAATTGCCGCCGGCCTCTTCCCCCTGCAGCTCCGGTTTTAGCTGGAGAATTATGGTATGTTGACAGCCTCTTAAGGCTTAAATTGTCCATTTAGTTTGCTGCCTTGTGTGTCCGTGAATTGCTGGAAAATTGGGGATAATTCCGGTAGCTTTAGGATGAAGTTTAAGCATTGATTTAAGTGGGATTTATGTGATTGAGTATTAATTGCTTGTTGTGATTTTTGGAGAGAAAATCCCGTGAGATTAGCTAGTGTTTTGGCCAATTTGTGGAAGTCGGGGTACTGTTCACCGACACTGTTCACACCCCGAGGGCCAACATTTAACGGGAATTTAAATGATTAGTTTGTGATATGAGAACGAATTTGGAGATGTCCGATCATGTGGAAAGTGATAGAAATAGCATTGTGATTAGGAATGATCCTAATAAAGTGTTTAGTGTGAATTTGTGATAGTGGTATTAATTCTTGAAATATTTTGATTAGGTTCCCGATCGTTCTGTCA